GATTTTTCATTTTTTGTAATAACTAGTAAAAGAAACAAAGCATATAAAATATAAATCAGTAAACTGCAAAAAAAAAACAAACAAAAACATGTACAAGCAATAGTAAATATATTAAACTAAGAGCACATTAAAAAGTAATTAAACTATAGTAAGCGATAATATTTATAAGAATTATTACATACGGCACTAAACTATTCAGAATGAAAGCAGTTTGTGAATTCATTTGAGCTTAGTTCAGACATAAATTCAGGACATGCTTTATCCAGGTAGTCCTTTAGGAACTCCTTTAGTTGGCTTTGGGAAGGGTATATATTTCTTGAGAAGAGATGCTTTACAACGTTTGTATACACATCCTACAATTTTTAAAATATCAACTTTGGTTTTTTTCGCAACTTAATAGCGTAACTAAATTACTTACATCTAAAACCCAAGGAGAAAGGTAATTGTTGCATTCTCTTCTTTGCCATTGCAACTTGGCTTTAACTTTCTTTACATTATTCCGGAGCTCTTTGATCAAATTGTATAGATGATAGTTTTGAGTAAAAAGTTTTTCTTCGAAATGATGGTTATTGCATTTACGTTCTTCAATGAAAAAAAGAGATTTTTTTTAAGAAAAAAAAAAAAAACTTTCCAAAGGAAAGAAAAAAAAACAACTTTCAAAAGAAAAAAAAAAAAAAACTTTATAGAAAAAAAAAAAAAAAAGATACAAAAGTACGGCATTCAAAGTAAAAAAAAAAAAAAAAAAAAACATATAATATAAAAATCTACTAATAATGCGATAAAACTTAAATACGTGAAAATTTCAGTACATCTCATAATGACAAAACCAAATAAGTAATTTTTTTTTTTTTATTTGTAATACTTTATATTACGATTGGTATCATTAGATTTTAACTTATTATCTAATTACAAAACATATAAATACAGTAGATTTACAAATAAGATAAGTATTTTTTTTTTTTCATTTGTCATACTTTATATTACGATTGACATCATTAGATTCTAACTTATCATCTATTTACAAAGCTTTATCGAAACATATAAATACAATAATAGATTTCTAATATTTTAAGGTAAAATATTTTTAGATTTTTTTTTTTGAAAATGAGTTCACCAAGAAACGTTTCACCATCCACTACACCAACTCCTACCACTACTACTTGCCCTCAATCGGGCAATACATCGACAACTAATAATGATAATAATTTCTCTCAATCGGGCAATATATCAACTAATAATGACAATAATTGCCCTCAATCAGGCAATATATCGACTACTAATGCTAATAATAAATACCCTCAATTAGGCAATACATCATCTATTAATAATAAATGTCATAACTTCTCTTTTGATACTGATAATGACTCTTCAGATTCATCAAGAAGTATTTTAAGTATCAATAGTATCTTTTTAAAAATGAAAACTCGATCACAAAAGTCCTCAAGTCATCATAATCAATCTCTTCAACCTCAACAATCTTGGCAACCTTCACAATCTTGTTAACTTTCACAATCTCGGCAACCTTCACAATCTTGGCAACCTTCACGAACAGTTCAACCTACTCAACAAACTTTTCACTCTAGAAATTCATCCCCTTCTAGCAACTGTGATCATTCTTTATCATCACGTGATTCTGAATTATAAGGTAGATCACAAGATTGATTACTAGAAAGACAATCAACTAATCGAAATAGCCACGAAATCAAGATGGTAATACTATATATAAGTTTTTTTTTTTTTTTTTTTTACTTTGAATGCCGTACTTTTGTTTCTTTTTTTTTTTTTTTTTTATTAAGTTTTTTTTTTTTTTTTTTTTTTAATTTTTTTTTTTTTTTTTTTTTTTGTATTTTTTTTTTTTTTTTTTTGTAATAT